ACCTTTATGCGCAATATCCATTACATACAATTTAAGTTCACACGGCTTTTCACAATATTTTAATTACACTAAATAAAATTTAATTTTCAGCGTGCTGATGCTGTACAAATAAAATGAACAATTGATGACACTTTTGTTTTGTTTTTTTTTTATTTCAGAAACCACCGTTACAATGGAAACAAAAAATATATGACAACAAGAAGTTTGGACAAAAAACTTATTGCAAAATCTATTTCGGTTTAAAAATTGTTATATAATTTTTTTCTTAATTTTGGCCTATGTCAGCAACCACTGTGCCGCGGTACAATTCGAAAAAAGGTCGGGATGGGCGAGTGCGGTACTTAAAAATTGAATTTCGGGATGGGCGGGATCGGGATTGAATTTTTTGTCCCTAGCCCTTCTCGTACTAGATAATTTATATGCTTTTTTTATATAAAAAATTAAGAAGTGTTATTCTTTCATGAAATAACCTTTTTAACAAAAAAAAACTGCATAATTAATAATTAAGGAAATTTATATTATTTAGAAAGTACAAGTTATTATCTTTAATTCGATAAACATATTTTATAATGATCTACATTTGGGTTTCAAGAATTTAGTGATAATAAACAAATTTAAATGAACAAAGCAAATAAACCTCTTATATCTTCTTTATTTTTTAACTGCGCCAAATAAATTTGCCAAATGCGCCAAATAAAGAGTTGCCATATTTTAAAAAATTTAAATAATAAATCAGAATTGTTACCTATATGGGTATCAATCTAAATGGGTTTTAAAAGGCTTTATTTCTAAACTATGTAAATCTTGAGAGGGTTGCCAACTGTTTAAAAAATAAATTTCAAATTGTATTAAGGTAATTGAAATACGTATCACCCAATGGGTGCCAGACGAAATAGGTTTAAAGAGATAGTAGTTAAAAATATTTTGCAGAGGGTTGCCACCTGTTTTTAGAGTCGAATATGCACAAGCCATATGAAATTTAAAAATATGGGTGTCAAACAAACGAGCGTAATAAAATCTTTAGTTTGAACATATAGAATTTTTTAAGGTGTTTGAAGAGGGTTGTTGCTACCTGTTAAAAAAGTTAGATTCAAATTATTTAATAAGTTAAACAAATTATTAAAGGTTGGTAATCAAACGAGACGGGTTTGAAAGTTATTTATTTCTGAACTTTGTTTAGAAGAGTTGCCAGGTGTATTAAAAAGTTAATTGCAATATACATATATCACAGTGCCAGCAGAAGAGATTTAAAAAGATTTAAGTTTGAAAATAATTTTAAAGAGGGTTGCCACCTGTTTGAAAAGCCGATTTCATCCAACATATACACAAGTTAAATTAAATGTTAAAATATGAGTGCCAAACGTAAGAGTTTTAAGAAAAATTTAGTTTAAAAATACTTTTGATTAAGGTTGCCATCTATTCTAAAAGTACTATCTTTCAACAGCATTTTTTGTGAAGGTTACCGTTACCTCGAATTTCCAAAATGAGATGTCAAATCAAAGCACTGGTTTGGCAGATGCGTAATAAAGTTTTATTTTTTTAAGTTGGAATTTTTTAGCGGTGCGGTTTGAAATTTGATTAAATGAAATAACGACACCATTTTATTAGCTTTATGAAAAAGGTTGCCACCTATTTATAAATTTAAATTCAATGTGGGCGTTTTAACGCCAAGCGGGGTCACTAGCTATTACTATTAACCAAAGAAGGAGAAAAAAGTAAAACAACAAGAAATTTCGACTTCTATAGACACGCAAATAGTTCAAGTTTATTTTAAGTATTTCAGTTCATAAGTTCATCAGCGTTATGTTCATTTTTTCAGCACTGCAACAGCGGGCGCAGGAGCAGCAACAAATGGTGCAGCAGCGTAGGCAGCTGGGAAAGCAGCATAGGCAGCTGGGAAGGCAGCGGAGTGAGCAATCGAATGCGCTGAGTAGCTGCTGGCATAGGGAGCAATGTAGGGTGCATAACCGGCGGTGTAGGCCACTGGCGCAGCATAGGCGGCGGCAGCAACTGGGGCGGTGTAGGCAAGAGCAGCTGGGGCAGCCAAGAGACCGGGCTTAGCAGCAGCGAAGGCAACAGCGAAGATAGCAAGGAAGCAGGCAGCGAACTGTAGGATTATTTAGAAAAAGATTATTATTAAATATATATGCACGTGATTAATTTAAATTAAATAAGGCAGGTTAAACTCACCAATTTGAACATTTTGAACGTTTTTAGTTTTTTGCTGAAGATAGGACTTCTTAACAATTGAAATGATTTGTGAATTGTGATGTCAGTTGTGAAGACATTCCGTATTTTTATACCAAATTCACTTGCGGTACTAGCTCAGACAATATGAGTATCTGCAGTGGTAGCTGAACTTATCCTTGAAATTTCCAAAATAACAAGTAAGTATTACTAAGTGGGCGCCTATTCGTCACACTTTACCACTGACATTGATTTTGCAGTGATCAAACACCTTTGAAGTTGTTAGTGTTAGTACACTTGTTTTTATTTTTGCGTGTTTTGCATTCAGAAACATAGTAAAATTAGCGCACCCTAAGTTCATTGTAATTCAATTAGGCAACCCTTCGACTTTGTTGAGTATTTTTTAAATCTTCGTACTATCGTTGAAGCAAATTACTTTACTTACTTAAATG